TAGTCACTTTATTACTTGACGACCGCGTATACTTGCGTGAGTGTGTTTGGTCGCAACACTTAGTCCCTAAATGGAGGTTTAAGCCTTAGGATTTGGACCATAGTCGAAATTGTATGAAGACGACTCCGAAATGGAATTCTGTCAGTTCCGTTAGCTCTATTAGGTAATTTTGGGTTTAGGGGCGTGTCCGGATTGTGTTTTGGAGGTCCGTAGCTCATTTAGGCTTGAAATGGCGAAAGTCGAATTTTTGGAGTTTTGGGCCGGTAGTGGAATTTTTGATATCGGGGTTGGTTTCCAATTTCGGAAGTTAGAGTAGGTCTGTAATGTTGAATATGACTTGTGTGCAAAATTTGGGGTCAATCGGACTTGGAAGATTTTTCTGGTTCTGCTGTAATCGCACCTGTGCAAGACTGCCCGCAGGTGCGAGCAAATTGGCACAGAAGCGGAGTTGGGTGGATTGGTTAAGGGTCACAGGTTCATGGAAAAGGCCGCATCTGCGATACCCGCAAATGTGCAAGGCTGTCCGTAGGCGCGAAGTTAGACCGCAGAAGCGAACTAGATTTCCGCAGGCGTGCACGCGCAAGTGCGGCCCTTTCATCGTAGGTGCGGAGGCAGAGGGGGTAATTGGTTTTTGCATAATCGCTCATTTTTCGCACAAGCGCACGCGCAAGTGCGAGCCCAGGCTCCGCAGGTGCGAAAATGCCTGGGCAGTGTTTAAAACCGAAGGGCTTCGTGATTTTGTCATTTTAGACTTTGCAAACTCGGTTTAGGGCGACGTTTTAGAGCATTTTCGAGAGATTTATTGAGGTAAGTCCCTTGTGCTTATTTTTTATCAATAATCTTGCTTCCCCATTTATTTTTTCACCTAGTTAGTGTGTATTTATGGTGGAATTTGGGAGTTTGAGGCTAAGGATTTGGAAAGTTTGAATTGTGGATTTGAAGGACCATTTGGTGTCAGATTTTAGTAAATTTGATATCGTTAGACTCGTGAGTTAATGGGCTTTTGGATTTTGTGACTTTTACCCGATTCCGAGACGTGGGCCCGGGTCGACTTTTTGGGGCGAATTTCGAATTTTTTATTAAAATATTGATTTCATTCATTAGATTAGTCTATTATAGTTGTATTTATGATATGTAATTGTTTTGGCTAGATTTGGACCATTCAGAGTCGGATATTCGTGGAAAAGGCATTGTTACCGATTGATTGAGCTTGGTTCGAGGTAAGTGGCTTGCCTAACTTTGTGTGGGGGAACTTCCCGTAGGATTTGTACTGTTTTTGATATATGAGCGTCGTGTACGTGAGGTGGCGAGTACGTACACTGGCTAATTGTGTAAAAACCCGATTTTCTACTAAGTAATAATCTGATTTCTTTTTTATTTGAGTTTCATCAGTATGTGTAGTATCCTGCTAGATTAGAATAGCACGTCTACTTACCTTAACTGTTTACTTGAACTACGTGCAGCATGTTTAATGAATTTACCTATTTTTTCGTAACTGATACTTACGTTAAACTGTAGAATTTCGTGCCGTGACTATTGAATTCTATTGTTTAGCTGCATATTTACTTTAGGACTACTGAACGGTATTCCGAGAGATCCCCTGTACTACATATTTATTTTGGGACTACGGAACGGTATTACGGGAGATCCCATGTACTACATATTTACTTTGGGACTATGAAACGGTATTCCGGGAGATCTCCATATACTGCATATTTACTTTGGAACTACGAAACGGTATTCCGGGAGATCCCCTTGTACTGCATATTTACTTTGGGACTACAAAACGGTATTCCAAGAGATCTCCCTGCACTTTTACGTTTGGAACTACGATACGGGATCTCGGGAGATTCCCTGTTGTTATCTCTGTGTACTGAGCTGTTGTCTTCTATGAATTCATTCTTCATTAAATTTTAGCACTTATTTTACTGCAATATTTCATTCTGTCTTAGTTTATTATTTATATACCAGTAGGGCCCTGGCCTGATCTTGTCACTACTCGACCGAGGTTAGGCTTGACACTTACTGGGTACCGTTGTGGTGTACTCATGCTACTCTTCTGCACATATTTTGTGTGCAGATCCAGGTACTTCTTATCAGTCCCGCTACTAGCTGAGGATGCTTGTTGCTGTACGGAGACTTCAAGGTATATCTGCCGCGTCCGCAAACCTCGGAGTCCCCCTCTATTCCCTCCTATGTCATTTACCTTCCTTACTTCTGTTATTAGATTCTGGTGTATAGAGATACTAGTTTCCTTCTGTAGCTTGTGACTTATGATGTTCCGGGTTTTGGGATTTCTGTGTATTTTTGAATAGTTAGTTATTGTACATGCCAGGCGGCATAGTACCCAGTTATGTTGTTACTGCTACAGTTAGTTATTAAATTTATGTTTTCATTTTATTATTCCGCATATATTAGGCTTACATAGTCGTAGAGACTAGGTGCCGTCACGATATCATACGGAGGGAAAAGTTGGGTTATGACACTTCTTCATTGTAAAAATGACATTATATAACCTAGTGAGCCACTCTAAGCCTGCCTTGCCCGCACTCTTGTAAAACTCCACCAATATTTCATCCGGCCCGGTCGCTTTGTCCCTGCTCATCTTATGCATAGCCCCCTCAACTTCATCAAATCTAATCCGCCTACAATTCCCATGGTCACAACGACTCCCAGAGAGTTTCAAATCACCCAGTACAATGTTCATGTCCTTCTCCTCGCTCAAGAGACTATGAAAGTAGTTCTACCATCTCTATCGGATAAGCCTCTCATCCAACAAAACTCTACCTTCTTCATCCTTGATGCATTTTACTTGGTCCAAGTCTCGCGCTTTCCTTTCTCGCGCCTTGGCTAACCTGAACAACCTCTTATCCCCACCTCGGCCCTCGAGTTCCTCATACAAATGACTAAAAATTACAGTCTTGGCCGCCGTAACTACTAGCTTTGCCTCTTTCTTAGCCAACTTATAATGCTCCCTATTCGCCCTCTTCTCCTCATCGTCTACACTTTCTACTAGCTTCAGATATGCTGCTTTCTTGGTTTTTACTTTTTCTTGCACCTCTTCATTCCACCACCAGTCTCCTTTGTGACTACCAGAGTAACCTTTTGAGACTCCTAATACCTCTCTCGCGGCTTTTCTAATGCACTGAGCAGTCGTGATCCACATAACGCTTACGTCCCCACTAGTCCTCCAAGCCCCCATAGTCACCAGCTTGACCCCCAACTCTTGCACTTTAGCTTCTGTCAAGGCTCCCCACTTAATCCTATGTTGGCTATAAATCGCCCTCTTCCTCCTCTTCCTTGTGATCTCAAGGTCCATGACCAGGAGCCTATGAAGGGTCGAGATGTTCTCACTCGGGATGACCTTGTAATCCATGTAAAGACCTCTATCGAACTTCCTGCAGAGTAAATAATCAATCTGAGTCTCGCCCACCAAACTCCGGAAGGTGACCAAGTGCTCCCTCTTCTTCGGAAAACTCGAGTTTGCTATCACCAAATCAAATGCTCTAGCAAAGTCCAGCAAAGACGTTCCTCCTCCGTTTCTATCTCCAAAACCAAAGCCACCATGCACATCACCATGTCCCCCAGACGTCGCTCCAATGTGGCCGTTGAAATCTCCTCCTATGAAAAGCTTCTCGCTATGCGGGATACCACATATCATCTCATCCAAATTCTCCCAGAAATGCCCCTTGACTTCCTCATTCAAGCCTGCTTAGGGTGCGTACGCACTGATTATGTTCAAAGTAAAACCTCCAACAACTAGCTTAATAGCCATCAACCTGCCATTCACCCTTTTAACCTCCACCACTAGTTCACGGAGGTTCTTATCAACCAAGATACCTACCTCATTCCTGCCTCCCACCCTCCCAGAATACCAAAGTTTGAAACTACTCACATCCCGCGCCTTATCTCCTACCCACCTAGTCTCTTTTACATAAGCTATATTAATCTTTCTTTTTTCGAGAATCTTCGCTAACTCTACAGATTTTTCAGTCAAAGTTCCTATGTTCCAAGACCCCACTCTCAACCTAGTAGCCCTCTTACCCCTCGCACCCCCTCCCCCGCGCTGACACCCCCGAGGACAAGACCTTATCCTACCATCGTTCATCAAAGCCACTATAATTTAGGAGTCACTACGCAAGCACAATCCCAAAAACAAGCGACAAAAATAAAATGAATTACTGAAATATAATCTACCACTAAAGGTCGCAAAACAGGTGAAGAAGTAAAATAAAGGAACTAACAGAGACTATAATCTACAACTGAAGGTCTGAAAAATAGGTGAAGAAATAAAATAAAGAAACTATAATCTACAACTAAAGGATAGAAAAATAGGTGAAAAAATAAAACAAAGGAACTAAAAGAACTATAATCTACAAATAAAGGATAGAAAAATAGGTGAAGAAATACAATACAAGAACTAAATGGGGCTATAGTCTACAACTAAAGGTCACAAAGAAAATATGCGAAACTAAAGCAGAACTATTAGGGGATATTTGAAAATAAAGATGTAGACGGGTAAATAAAAATATAAACAAGTAAGCAAAGCTATCACTAATGTAATTAATTTGACATTGTTAAGACAAATACTAACTAAAAATTCAAGAATAAAATAGGCAGTAATATAAAAACTTATCATACGCTAAATGCTGAACCACTTTTAAAACCATAAAATAAGGCGAACAAACAGTAAACTTGAGACCTCAATAGCGTATTTAAGGCACTTTTATATCACCGAAAATTGCATCACTATTTAATGAAGCCTACACCTATCTATGTCGCGCAGTTCACATGGTAAAGCTACCCCTATAGAATATGACTGAACAGCAGAAAATTTAAAAACAAAACTGTTTTACATACATATAAGAGTCTTTGTGATAGTTTTTATCAACTTAATAATCAAACATGCGAAACACCAATAAGCTGCAAAATCACTTTTAAAGGAGAATTTTTCTGGTGACGACTGTATTATTCATTATAAAAGATGGTTTTTCAGAATATCAAAGGAAGAAGATTAACATTACACTGTAATGTTTATAGCTTCTTTATTCAATTTTATCATACAACGACTTACACGGTACATTGTAAAAGTTGTGCATAGAACAACTATTAACATTAAAGACCGATTGAATTATTACTACACAAGATAGTTCACTCACTTATATGGACTCCACTAATTGGCCAATTATTTTAACTTGAACAATGCCCTTCTCTAACTTATCCGAGACAGAGTAACTTTGTTGAGAGATGGTTTGAGTCAGCCTCTCAGTGTAATTATCCCGAACAGAAAGTAATCTGTATTTATGAATGAGTAAAACAGTTAGATGTATACTTGAAAAATATATTTGAGGATAGATGCAATGAAAAAAAAATATATATTGAACCGTGTTTTAAACTCATCAGATTGAGGAAAATTTGGGTTAATCCACAGTTTTGATGCATTCCAAGTATTGCGCACAGAATATGAATCTACAAAATAACATACGTTAAGATGTAATGAAGAACTTTCACAAAATAATGTCAAATTGAATAATTGCATTTTACCTTGAAATTTATGGGCTTTTATGAGTTGCATAACGACAATAACAGGCTGGTTGTTAGAACTTAGCAGGAGAGGTACAATTTCATCAACAAATTTGCCCCAGAATGTAGCAGACAACTTCTTCCTCCTGCCAAATAGAAATAGATATATAATTTTAAGCATATGTAATCATCAAATCCATAATGACTGTTTATTCTTACTCATCATCTTCTAGTTGGATATCCATAAACTTCCTAGAAATTTCACCTTGTTTGTGCGTTTTTACCTCACCAAAACCGATAATTTCTCCGATCACATCTAAAGAAAAAGAAGATGTTAAAAGAAATAGCAGAAAAGTTCATAATTATAAATTTAAGGTAAAACTTATTTTTACCGAATAATTCAGTCTCATTCACATCAACCTTATTTGTCAATTGATCATATGGTCATAGATCAAAGATATTCATAGGGAAAAATGGATCAGTTGTTTCAGTCACTGTTGTCCGTTGAGTAAATGTCAGCCTCAACCTATGTTTTGTAGTGTTGAACCTCTCCTTATTTTGACAAATGATAAAGTTCGCCATAAGATATAATCCAAGCTCATTAATTTGTGTTTTAAAAAGATGCAAACGCATGTATCCGATCGCCCTACAAAAAATTACATTAAATAAAAGAAAGTGTTTGAAGAAATTAGTAATACAATAATTGCAAATTAACTCATACAAATCTTTGCAACTTAATCACATCAAAAACAAAGAAGGTCTAACGAATTACCAACACAAGAAATCCAGAGTAACTATTTCTAATTTATATTACTGTACTTGAAAACTTGAATTTATAGTAATACAACTTATCAATAATAGAGTTTAATGAAATAGTAAGTCAAACAAACACAGGAAGAACTCCAAATTTTTACTTTTCAACAGTAGACTTGAATGAATTAGTAAGTCACATAAACAGAGGAAGTTTTTTAGATATTTAATTTATATTACTGTATTAGAAAAAATTTTCTTCAATTTTCAAACTATGTATAAAACAACTTGCCGTAGAAATTCACAATAGGCGTAAGTCATCGGTTCAAATCTGTTATTCATGCCTTGTGATTTTGTCTAAGTAGCTTTAAACATAATCTATTAGCGTTAGTGATAGATATGCCAAGACTTATGGTAGACCGTTCCGGAGAAATCTTAAGAAAATGTCTGTAATAGCTTGCCCAGGCCAAAGAAGCTAACTATCTATGTAAGAGTAGTGGTTTGGGTCAGAACTAAACTTCAATACAAAGACTGAGCTGGAGAGAAACCTGATTCCATACTTGACCTTTATATAGTTATCTCTCTCAAGGAAGTCCCTTGTGTGTATATCTAATTGTTCTGGTGTATGACGTTAACCATGTAATCTTTTTTTGCATTAATTATTAATCTTTCAGTAATTCTGCAAATTCACAAATAACATATTGTACTTACACTCCTTTGGCAAGGCCTCATCGGTTTCAAAAGACCAATTTTCTTGTGGGCAATAGAATAGGGTCAAACTTAAGCTAGTGGGATAAGTAATTTTACACTCCTTACGTTCTATTTGTATCTCCATATTCTCCCTACATTCATATGCTACTTTATCCAGTAGACTTGAACGAATTAATAACTCAAACACACAAAGCAGCAAATTGAAATTTGCAACTTAAGAAAGATAGAGCAAAAAAAACTTAGTAAGAAAATAACATATTTTGAAGACTTTTTCATCTTGTAGAACCAATTCAATGGAGAATGTAGTGTCTGAATTATAACGACCCGGTACTTCCCACAGACGGACAACCCGAACTTTTAACTTCCACATTTTTGAAATTGTTATATCCTTGATGAAATCACTGTGAGTAGCCATTCTTTACACAAGCCGTACCTTTTCTTGAATTCTTGATAGCAGTAGGAAGATTAGAATTGAAATACCATGTAAGTTACTAGCATGAAATATAAGTTTGCAGTTTGAGCCGTTGTTACCAAGTAGTGAGTTTCAATCGTGATTTAGATAGCTGAGGACACTATGTTATTTTGCTGAGATAATTTAGGGCAAATGGAAGCTAAAAGGTTTTTAAATAATATATTGGATTTCAATCGTGAAATTTCTACCGATTTTTGTAGGCCATTTTTCTCCCAAATAAACTTTTAGTTCCTAATTAGTTGGAGCAATGTCTTAAAGTGCCAAGTGGCATAGTGGGATGATGACACTTGATTTAAGGAGAGAGATTTTTTCTCTCCTTTTAATTATATATAGATATAGATATAGATTATACTCCGCATCCTATTTTTTCTTTGTAAGATTGTAAGTTTATTCTTTATATTGTTGGTATGTGACATTATAAAATAAAGGCAAACAGTACAATCTATCCAAATATTGTATTTATCAAACAATACAGTACAATACAATACGATTTATTATAAAACGAAATGTATTAACAAATTCAAACAAGCTGTTATTGAACTTAGACCAATCTACACAATATTTGAGTGGTAATCAGAGAGAAGAAAAGTAATACTTAGGAGTAACAATTTTCTTCTTCCATTTGATTAGCGTGCACGCCTTATTCACATGCCAAAACAGAATACTTCAAACTTCAACAAAATTTCAAATTTTCATAGCAAGCTCTCCTAAAACTGTCACTCATTTGTGTGGTCTTAAACAAAGCCACCCACGTGTTTCCCCTTCCATGGTCGTTGTATGTTTCTTGTTAATGGACCCCACTTACCCTCCATTACCGTAGGAGATCCTTTCGAATCTTCTTCAAATTCTTCCCCTCATCTTCTTCTTACCAACTAAAATCTATTTCTCTTCTTCCCTAATCCAATCAGATTTCCCCAAAACCCATTAATAAAAGATCTTGTACAGTATTTATATTACAAAGAATTAGTAGGGGGAAAGAAAAGACAACTGTGTAGAGAAAGTGGGATTTTGTGAGAGAATGAGTGCTTTGAATACCCACTTTATCTTGATTGATCTTCAAAGCTCATGGTACTCAACTAAGCAGATACCCAATTCCACCTTTTCTTATTTAAACCATTGTCAATTTGCTTCTTCGACGTTCACAGCGGCATTTTGCCGAACACGTCGTGGGAGCAGTAAAATCTCGTCTTCTAGGTTGCCGGTGCCGTCAATTCAGTCGCCGGAAATCAGGAGGCCAAAGGGATGTTCGATTTCCGGAAATGGGTTGTCATTGGTTTCTTCAAATTCGACTTCCACTTCGAGTCCCATGATCTCGGACTTGGACTTGTTTTTGGAGATAGTGCCATTGAGAATGAGAAATGAGCTCTTTAGACATCAGGAGATTGGGGAGTTGATTGAGGTGGTTATGGATTTGGGTAGAAAGCCCCTTGCCCGATTTCCTTCAGGTGATTGGGTCATTTCGGAGCAGCCCGTAAAGCTTGAGGATCTAATCCACGCCATTTCAAAGGTGTCTAAGTAAATATTACTCCCTCCGCCCCCAATTTATTTGATATTTTTTTCTTTTTTAGTCTATCCTGAAAAAATAATTATATATTTAGAAGTTAACTTTCCATTTTATTTTGAGATGATCTATAACCACACAAATATTTATG